TATACTATGAGGTCAACATGACACTGAACTATGTCATTAGTGACAGTGGACTGGTTGAGAACAGCAGGACTGATGACTGCATGGCTTCAGCTCACACAATACACACACACACACACACACACAGAGATATTACAAATACACGTTACAATTATTTGTAAAGAATTTGAATTATGTGGAAAAAGGCCTTTGTCCATTCAGTACTGAAACTTTGAAAATGCAGCATTGCAGACCATGCTGTTATTTTGCTGCCCTTGCTAAATACACGTTGTCGATGGCTGGATGCAGGGTTTAGTTTTCTCCTGAATGTGTGTGTATTCATTTTCTTTTTGTCTTTAGGAGCTTTATAGCATAAACACTGGCCTTGTCAGGACCAGTGGACCTCATGGGGTTGGGTTAGGCATGAATTGGTCATGCAAGATTAGGGATAAGGTTGGAGTTTGGCTCTTCACAATGAATGTAAGTCAATTCAAAGTCCTTCTAAGGATAGCTGCTCAAATCTGCATCATATGGTAGGAATTAGGTCATTTTGACTTCACAATAAAGTAATAAGTAATAAAATGACAATACTTGTGTTTCTGAGCTGCTGCACTTCAACAATAAAAGTGATGGTTCTTGGATGTGTGACGTCTGAGGGGGTTCAAGGCAACCCGGAAACTATAATAGGAACCTCACGAGTCAAATTCAGCTGCTGCCAACCAGCTCATTTCTCTAACAATGCACAGGCACGATGTCTGCCCCCCCCCGGCAAGATGCATGAGATGTGATTGCCTTGATGTATATTTAGGCCACAGTGACTTAGGAGATGCTGGCTGAATGTCTTGGCCGCAGTGATGGATGTTCCTTCAGCTTCAAATCAGTCCTCAAGCCAAGATTGAGGAGCTCATCTCCGGTGCACGATGATGCACTTAGGGACTGAATCAACCCCCCCACCCCAGACCAACACACTACAATGTGCCTATTTAAAGAAGCAATTAATGTAAAAGAAAAGGATTTGCAAGTGCCAAGAACATCTAATCTTATAACCAGCAGGCTGATTGATAACTTCCTCTCCATTTGATTTGCCCATGTCAGAGTGATTCAGGGTCGCTGGCCTCACCTACAACGTCAGATCGCTGTATTTCACTCAGATGCTCCATGAACCCTGTGAAAAGGTGGCCTATTGACGAAAAGCCACAATGACGAGCTATTGATTTAGTACGCAAGGACCGACTGGCCCCTCCTCTTGGTCTTGGAAAGGATAAATATATTGAATGGATGGGCCCGAGGCAGTGGATTGCTCGCCTTGCTCCAGGGAGGACTCATAGTGCGGCGTTAGTCTGGGACCATACAGAGCCAGTGCCATGGACAGGTTCTCAGTTGTGAACTACTGCTTAGGACTCCTGGGTTTGTTACTACTGCAGGGAGTGCTGAGTGTGGATGGAAGGAGCACGTTCAACCCGGGTGAGTTGCAAAATGATCTTTGATTTGGTCTAAATCGAAGCTTTTTTCTTAGATTTCTGATGAGGCTGCATTCGACTACAGCACAATTTAAATTGAAGATAAAAGATGATGCCTGATCTTGAAATCAGATGGACATGGCTTCATTTTCTGTTCATATTTTGTGATATTCATGGTGCTTAAAGTTGTATATTTATTTGCTTTGTGTATGTGCAGGAAACCGTGTTTTCAATCCTAAAGCAGATACAGAGGCCCAGAGCAAGATTCTTGCACTCTTACTGCACAAGAGCTTAGTTCCAGTTGAAAAGGACGATCCTCTAGGTGAGAGATAAAGAAATCAAAGGTTAAAATTTGACATAATTAACACAGACATATTCTTAAGGGACAATAACTGATTTTTCTATCCACAGGTCTTGAACTGGCCAACAAATTAGCTGAATTAGAGGAGGTAAGGATATTTACAGACCCCC